TCGAAGTATTACGTTATATAGTCCTTCGAAATATAAACCTCCGAAGTATTACGTTACATAGACCTTCGAAGTATTACATTGCGCAGAACTCTGTGGGTCTCGTAGGGTTATGAAAACCTACACAACGTAAATTTTTGAAGTACTCCGTTATATTTAAATTCGCGATGTAGTATGTATAAGATTAACTATAAATAAGCATCTAGAAGAAAGCCTTAAAGAATAGGCAACTTGTCTTGCAGATAGAATTGATGAACTTACTGGTATAAAGCAATATTGAAACTGGTTAAGATTAAGAAAAGACTTTGGAAGGCTGTTGAAGTCAAATATGATAATCTTATTATAAATGATCCAGAAGTATGGCAAGAAAGAGAATGTATAGGAGGTCATCAAGTGCAAAAGAGATGGGAAATGATGGAATTGTAGAATATATTTGACCAGAGCCTGTTTTACTAAACCTAGTTTTAGAAGTTGATCCACAAACCAGTTCAGGATCTAGAACACAGATTAATAAAGAATTTAGTTGCTTAGGAGAAATTATTGATAGACAAGAAAAAGACCTAGAATTTAGAAAGCAAGAAGAATTAGGCACAGCACTTAAAAGAAGAGCTATAGCTGTATATTGTGCAAAAGTTCTTAAATCATATTTAGATAATGGAAGTAATATACAAAAAATGTTAAAGAGTCAAAGAAACAATTTAAGGATGTACTTGAAAAGGAATTTGACTAGCGTGAATAATTCAATTTTGCTCTATATTTTCTTACCAAATTTCTTATAGATAATAAGCCTGGAAATGAAAAGCCTGAAAAAGAAAAGAACTCACGAAGAGACTGGCTCAGAAATAAGCAAATTATAGTTTACATTCGAGCTAAAATAGATAACTATTTAAGCGTAAATCTTATATCAACTAGAGGAAAGAGGAGGTAAGTCTAATGCTTGAGAATATATTTAGGTGGTAACATTGTATCTAGCAGAACAATTTGGAGTTTTTTTCTCACAAAAGAGCATCTAGGACTATTATAAAGTTTATAGAGAACTGGTTGATTTTCTTTTATCAAATATGAATCAATCATAAAGACTTTAGGAGACCAATTGCAATCAGTTGCTCTTTTTTTCCAACCTTCTAATTCACTAGGTTCTAAGAGATGATAAACTTCAATATAACTAGATAAAAGTGGTTCATTATAACCAACTGGTCTTTTATGTTTAATAAAAGGTTTAGCTATTATTTTTTTGCCTTTTAATACTCTTTTCACAGCCTCGTTAGAAGATATTACTATTAATTTAGTAGGCGTATTATTAAAAATATTATCATTTACACGAAGACCTCTAACCTATATTCTGCACTTTTCAGATAAAGGCAAATAAAAATCTACAGCATCTTGCTGAAAATAAGCATGCTTTTCAAAATCTTGATAGTCACGTTTAGCAATAGCTACTCTATATTTAAAGTTAACATACTGAATTTTTACATCATAGTTAAACAATAAATCCTTATATTTACCTATATATTCAGTATCCTTATCTATAATAAAGTTTTAGGATAAGTAAGAGGGTAGTTTGGATCATTATAAATTTTTTGAATTTTCTTAGCCATTTGTGCAGATGTTTTATCAGTCAAAGCAAAATTACGTTGAAATCTAGTTGCAACATTTTTTATCACACCTCTATACTTATAAATCTGATTACCTACTTTATCATGAGGCATAGGTGTAGTATTAGACTGATGTACTTTATTAAAAATTTGTATATTGTTAAAAGAAGCATATTAGATAAACTTTGGCTGAGGTATATGAATCTGATGTACAGCTTGTCTCTCAAGCCAATTACACACTTCATTTAAGATAAAATTGAATCCAGCTTTTTGAGAAGCTTCAATCAATTTTTTTACAATCCTCTAATAGCCTGAAGGCTGATAATAAATCTTTTGCAAATTAATAGATACTGTATTCCTCCAAAAATAAATACTCCCTAAAAATAAGCACCACTAAGATTTATTAATACGAAAATAAGCATCCTCACAATTTATTCAATTAAAATCTGATTATTATTTATTGTTATAGCACTCATATATATATTATATAACTCATTGTAAAAAATGTTTATTTCAATAATTTTAAATGCTATCGCCTTAATTATTATTAATGCTATTATTGTCATCAATGCTATCATTACCATCACAATCACTATCAATATATATAACATTCAAATTATTATCTTCATTTTTGTCTGCACTCTCATTTATACTCTTATATCCACTTTCATTTCCACTCTAATCAGATCCGTTTAAAGAATTTGATATTTTACATTTTTTAAAGGACCTGATAATAATTTTGTCTGAAATTATCTCCTAAGAACATTTGACCCATATGCAAACATCACTTAATTTTACCTGATAAAGGTTTCCTGCAGAAGTTATTCCTACACTACCCTTGAACATCCAGCTATGCCATTCTCTTTGTAGATTTTCTTTGATTGATTTATTGATCGCAACATCAAGCGGTTGGCAAATGCTAGTCAATCCACCTGAAATGACTGCCAAATTATATTCACTTTCGCGAAACTTTAATTTTACCAATTCTTCAATATGACCCCTAAATGAATCATACACTAACATTGCTAGAATATTGTTAGTTCTTGCATCATTAAGATAAACCACATACCTTTTCATCAAATCAGCATTTATTCATGCATTTTCTGAAACCACACTACTACTCTAGAAGGAATTTGTTCTCCTCATGACATCTGTTTTCCTTTAAAAATGCAGATAGGTAATAATTTAGTACCATCTATAAAAATGAATAAAAAACTATAAGTACAATAAAATTTTCCTTGCATTCCTTTTCAGTAAATTCCATAAATTAGTCCTCACCTGCGACACATGTCAAAACCACAATAAACTGATTCTTTTCATTACCTGTTGCTCGAATATGCACAGTTTTTTTACCTTATGGATTGACTGTGATATTGCCAGTTATGTCAAACCAAACAGATGTCTCATTCATATTAAAAATTTCATTCATTTCAAAGGATTTTTCTGTTTTAATGAGAATAACAAATTGCTGAAACTTTTCTAATAAATTTTGAGTTTAAATTGGAAGTTTTTGGGAAATTTTTGTATGTTTTCGTAATGCCAGTTTGTATCATTTCAAAAATGCAACTAGCTAATGATGAGACATTTTAAAATCCTTTGATACATTACTATAAAGAACTAAATTTTGGGTTATTCTAATATTTCTAGCATTCTATATCGTATTGTTGCATAAGTCACTGCAAAAGTCTGCTTTCTTTGTTCCATTATCCAATTATACAGCTTTCTTTCAGCTTCTGAAAAGAAAGCTTTTCGACCAGATCCAACCTGTCTACTATTTTCACTTATTTCACTTGACCAGTTCGTGCTTACCTTCATTCAATATCCAATCATACTAGCATCAAGTTCAAAATATAGCAGCATTATTTCTTCCATGCTTCTTTGCATAATCTACAACCTGTGACTTTTGAGAAAGAAAGTATGATGTCCGCTTTCATTTAGCAATTTTTTTTTTTTTTTGTGGCTTAACCTTTTGTTTGCGTTGTGACCATTTTTTTTGTGGCATTTTTAGATAAATGAAGAAAGAACCATCGTGTGTTTATGTATGCATATACAAATCAATTTATTAGATCTGCATATTACGTAATAAGACAATTAGCAGTCATAAGATTTGGGATTAAAGATGGCACTGTAATTAAGAAGTTGCAACTCGGTAAGTTGCAACTCCTTGCAAAATTTATTTTAATATAAAAAT